AGACACAGAAACAGACACAGACACACACACACACACACACACACAGAGAGAGAACCAACACACACACACACACACACACACACACACACACACACACACACGCGCGCGCACGCGCGCGCACACACGCAGACACTCTTGGACGGAAGCGGCCTCGCGCGCAGCGACGAGGCGGGGAAAGCGCAACAGTCAGAACAGCGCGCGCGACGGCTGGGCCCTCGACGTCGCTTATGATGCAAACCCACGGGCAGCAACTATCTGGGCACAGACGGCAGGGATGGGAGAGACACACCACGGCCGCATGAGAATTGGAGGATGCACACACAATCACACGCGCACACACACACACACACAAACACACACACACACACACACATAAATACACACATACATATACACACACACAAAAAAAAACAAAAACAAAAACAAAAAAACGCCATGACTACGGCCCACATTGCTGACTGTGACGTGCACGCCGCTAGAGCCTCGGCGCCGTACAAGGCGACTCCCATGGTGAAACTACATACCCAAATCCTGCCGATTGATTCTCTCATCACGTCGACCATGTGAAGTCGCCGAGAGGGGCGCGCGGGTAGACATATTCCTACGAGGTGGACTGAGATCCAACGAACAGACAGTCAGCTCCCAGCTAGAGGCTACTCCAGTCCTGGGTACAGACTGCGCGGGGAGCGGAAAGGTTGGGCACAAGCGTGCCATAACTGCGCTGCACATGGCCACAGAATGCAGAACTTGTCTGACGACTGGAGTCACCAAACTTCGCGCCTAGGAGGAGTAGAATGATGATGATGATGATGATGATGATGATGATGATGATGATGATGATGATGATGATGATGATGATGATGATGATGATGATGATGACGAGGAGGAGGAGGAGGAGGAGGAGGAGGAGGAGCAGGGGGGCTCCCACTGGGTCACCTTAACTTCGCGCCCTGCGCCCCAAAGGTGCCAGACGCGCAGCCCTCTCCGCGCCCTCGCGCCGCCCGCTGGAGAAGGCCAGCTCGGCGGCCCCAGCCGCGACGCACCCCCCCGAAGTGAGCATCGCTTAACCGGTCCCTATCCTTAAATCGGGCGTGTCCCTCTACAGGGGGATTTTCGGAGAGAAATGAAAAATACGCAAAACATATTCCGAAACGGTCCAAAAACGCTCAAAAAATAGTCCCAGACTATTTTTTGACTGTTTTTGGATATCCCTCCTGTAGAGGGACAGGCCCCACTTAACCCTATCCCCACTGGTGTGGCCCGGGCCCACTGGCCGAGTTACCCCCCTTGATTAGGGGTACAGGCGGGTTTCGAGGTGTGCATCCCCAACTGGGGTGGTGGGATGATGGGGTCGAGATGGGGATGGGCACGGGGATGGGGAATCGGTGGAACGATACTGACGAAGCACGACCTGGGTCCGAGGAGAGAGCCAGCGGCAGCAGACGCTCCTGGCAGCTCGCCTCGCAAATCGCACCGGTGGCGCGGCCCGATGCGGCAGCCGGCGCGGCGGAGCGGATGCGCTGAGCCGAGCGGCGCGAGCGGGCGCGTGCAGCCGAGAGGCCGTCGGCCGTGCCCATCCTCCTCCTCCTCCTCCTCCTCCTCCTCCTCCTCCTCCTCCTCCTCCTCCTCCCCTCCTCCCTCCTCCTCCTCCTCCTCCTCCTCCTCCTCCTCCTCCTCCTCCTCCTCCTCCTCCTCCTCCTCCTCCTCCTCCTCCGCATCCTCCTTCTCATCCTCCTGCTCCTCCTCCTCATCCTCATCCTCCTCCTCTTCCTCCTCCTCCTCCTCCGTCTCCTCTTCCTCCTCCTGCTCCTCCTCCTCCTCGTCCTCCTCCTCCATCCTCCTCCCCCTCCCCCTCCTCCTCGAGATCCCTCGCCATGTGAGCAACCAGTAAAGGACCCCTAACCATTTGGGAGGGGACCTAAGTTGGGAGGGCCAAGAACTGTTAGGGATGGGGGGGTCTTTCCTGCAGGTGTATCGAACCAGACCGTCCAAATGTTTTATCCCTGGTGAGGGCACGTCTTCATCATGTTACTAGGATTAGGGGTTCTGCTGTTCTCGATGGCCACAGACCACCTCCGTGGCTGGCCAGGGCCGAGCTGGACCCTGGCCTGGTGCAGAGGCCCCCACGTCGGCCACACGCAGGAGCGGCCCCAGGCAAGCGTGGCCTTGGGTGTGCGGCGTCCGGGAGCCAGGGGGGAGGCCAAGCCCGAGCCCGCACAGCGCTGCTATCGCATCGAGGTCCGCCATCTGGGGACCCATCTGTGCCCGCACCAAAGGTCATTCCAGCGAAAGGTCCCTCCTCCTCCTCCTCCTCCTTCTCCTCCTCCTCCTTCTCCTCCTCCTCCTCCTCCTCCTTCTCCTCCTCCTCCTCCGCACCAAAGGTTCTTCCGGCGAAGGGCCACTCTTGCGCGCAGCCGCCCCCTGGCTGGGGCCAGGAGGGTCTGTACACCATCCGATGTACGGACTGGGATACTCCCTTGGCCAGGCACGGTGGCGCATGGCTGCCTTCTGAAGACGCAGCGTCCCAAGCATCGCCCCCTCGAGGGAGGAGGAGGAAGCACTCCGAGGGGAGGGGCAGGGAGGAGACTGGGAGCGGACAGAAGTCAAAGGAAACGTAAGAGGGGGTGGAGGGACAGAGAAGGGCACCGAGAGGGAAGGGACGGACGGGAGGACAGAGGGGGAAAAGGAGCAGGTGCGGCACTCTTCTGCAGCCCTGCCCAAGGTAGTAGCTGGGGGACGTCTGATCCAAACGGGAAGGAAGACCAGGGGAGGGGGCTGGAGGGGAGGCGGGAAGGAGGGGGAGGGAAGAACGGAACGGAACGGAACGACTGCGATCCTGAGCAGTGGTTCCTACTTGGTAGCTTCACCACCCTGTTGGGAAAGAAGATGCAAGGGTCTTCGAACAGCTCGGGGCCTATAACCTGCAGCCTCGCTGAGGGGGAGTCCTCTGGCCCTGAGCAGGACCGCCGAGAAGGAGAACAGCCCATGACGGCCTGCAAGAGCACCATCCTCCCAGCTGCAGGCGCGGTGGAGGAGGAGGAGGAGGAGGAGGAGGAGGAGGAGGAGGAGGAGGAGAAGGAAGAGAAGGAAGAGGAGGAGGAGTAGGAGGAAGAGGAGGAGGCGGAGGAGGAACAGGAGGGAACAGGAGGAGGAGGAGAAGGAGGGACCCAGAGAAGGATCCCTTGAACCACGCGGCGGCCAGTCCAGGAAGCTATGGCAAAGAATGGGGGATGGCTGCCAACGCCAAGCTGAAGGCCCACGACGGCATATCGTCTCTGGGGCTCAACAATGCCTCCGACAAGGCCAAGGACCACTTCGAGAGCGTTCCCCAAGAACTCCAGCTGTGGCACGAAGAGACCAGGGATCTTGGGGGACATGTTCTGCTGGGCTCAGAAGGCATCCAGGACTTTTAGAGAGCACGTCGCCGACGGCGGGGACGCAGCAACAATGACCAGAGGCAGCCCTTTAAGGGGTGGGGGGGGTTCGAACCCCCCCCACTGGCGCCGGCGACGGCGGGGACGCAGCGACCATTACCACCACTACCACCACCACCACCACCACCACTACCACCAATATCACCACCACCACCGCCTCAACCCACCACCACCACCAACAACCCACCACACAACCACCACCACCACCACCACCACAGCCACCACCACCACCACAACCACCACCACCACAACTCACCATCACCACCACCACCACCACCACCACCACAAAAACCCACCACCACGACCACCACCACTACAATCTACCACACCACCACCACCCCCGCAACAACCACCACCACTACCAGCAGCACAACCCACCACCACCACCACCACCACCACCACAAACCACCACACCACCACCACCACCGCCGCCACCACCACCAGCACCACCTCCACAAACCACCGCCACCACCACAACCTACCACCACCACAAACCACCACCACACCACCACCAAACCACCACCACCACCACAACCCACCACCACCACACCACCACCAAACCACCACCACACCACCACCAAACCACCACCATCACCACCACCCACCACCACCACAACCACCACCACGACAACAAACCACCACACCACCACCACCACCACAACCACCACCACCACCACAACCCACCACCACAACCCACCACCACCGTCACCACCACCGTCGTCCTCGTCGACGCTCCCCGCCGCCGCCGCCCGCCGCCGCAGGCGCCAGCGCCGGCCCAGAAAAGGAAATCGTCGTCCCCGCCGCCGCCGCCGCCAGCCGCCGCCGACGCAGGCGCCGGCCCGAGGAGAGGGAGAGAGGAGAAGCAGGGGGGGGTCGAAACCCTTCCCCGCCCCCTCCGTCACGGGAGGGGGGGGGGTTTGAACCCTCCCCTCCCCTCCATCCAAGGGGGGGGTCCAGTTCCAAACCCCCCCCCCTCCAAGCGACCACAGAACGCGCTCTTTCTGCACTTTCGAACATGCAGCGAGGATACCTATGTCCAACGGATTTGTGCTCCTCCTGACTGAGACTCCACCTACCACGGTCGAAGCCTATCTCATCGAGGCCCTCTGGTCCCTCCTCTGGACCCCTGAGGTGCTCAAGAGGCTCCCACCTCCGTCTGGAGATACAGAGGCCATGACGGCCGCTGAAGAGATACGAGACAGTGGGCTCTGGACACATCCCCCGAAGACCTCCTGGAAGAGTTCCAGGAGATCAGCCAGACTGAGACATACTGTTCGACAGGTTTTGTTGCAGCAACAACATCGCCGCTGCCGAGCTCCAACAGTGGGGGTACCAGATCTCCCCGCTTCGCGTTGCGTGCGCCACGAGAACGGATTCGGCCTGGCATCGAGCTTGGATTCGTTCGAAGGACCTGGAGAGCAGTGAAATTGTCGAGGAGGAAGCACTTCGAGAAGCTCTGCAAGCGGGGCCTGGTGACCTTTTGTTCGGCCACGTTTGGGCCCCAGTTCCCGAACACAGGGCTCAGCCCTACATGGAGGAACAGTTTGAGTTTCTGGTCGCCGAGGG